GCCTCTCGTCGGAAGCCCGTGCTTGTCAGGTTCCCACCCTCCCACCTCCCCAGGGTTCCTTCCTTCTCTGACGGTTAGTTTCTCTGCCTTTCCTGCATCCCTTTCTCTGGTGGGGGGTCTCCTGGGCCCTGACCCTGGGCTGTTGGGATCTATGGAGGGTGCAATGAGTGGGGGAAGTACGAAGGAACATTTGCAGAGCATTCTGGGGGCACTTCCCTCCACTCCCCAGCCTCCCCCTCCTGTAGCTAGCACCTCAACTCTCAGGCACCTCTCCTGTTCCTCTTTGTCAGCCTCCCCTGAAAAGGAGGGCCATAGAGGATTTCTCTGGAAGGTTAGGGACATTCAGTGGGAAAGAGATGGCATCTGGAGATGAACCGACAGGCCTGGGTTCAGGTCCTTTCTGGGTAAATCTTCTCTGTGATCTTGTCTGTAAGTTGGGGGTAGTAAGAGCAGCCTCGCAGAGGTGGCTGGGAGGTGAGAAGAGCAGGAGATGCAGGTGCCCGGATGCCACTCTGATGAGGCTGAATTGTGCACACGGGGCGGGGCGGGGAAGGCTGGCAGAGACCTTCCCGCCCAGCTGGGGCCCAGCCAGCTGCAGGCTGTGTGGTGGAGGCTTGCCACCTTCTCCATTGTCCTTTCTACCTCTGCCCTTGGGAAAGGTCTTGAGAGTCAGGGACCTGGTCCTGTGACCCCCAGGAAGTGGTCAGGGTATAGGAGGGTCAGTGTGGCCTGCTGGGATCTGAACTGCTGGCCAGGCCAGGGTTCACCATCACTAACACTCCTGGCCCTGACTCCAGGAGTGACAGGGCAGCCTGGAGAGATGACAGGTGAACATGATGTCCCACTTCCTCCTTGTGCTTTTCCAAAGCGAGTAGGTCTCAGCAGCCAGCCAGCCCCCTCACGGCACCAGCCTCGGGCAGACTGGATGCCGTGGCTCCTCTGTTTCCCTCCAAACAAACCCCTGGAAATAGCAGAGTTGGCTCACTCCCCGCCAGCCTCAGACATAGGCCCTGTGTCCTCCGGGGCGGTGGAGCCTATCCCCCCGGGTACGAGGCCTACACACAGCTCAGCGGCCGGATCACTCAGTTCTATGCTTCTTCACACGCGTGCCTATCCTGGGAAAAGAAGAACAGCCATGTCCCTTGACAGCTTAATGGGCTGTCAGCACAGGGACTGGAGAGGAAGTTGGCGGGGACAGGTGCCGTGAGGCTGGGGAAGCTCTCAGCTGCCAAAGGGCCAGATTGCACGGAGGGTGGCTGTGGCCGGGCGCCTGGTGACCTGTTGACACCATTCTCAGGCTGCCGGCTGCCCAGGGGCTGGTGTTACGACCGAGGAAGAGGAGTGGGCCCCAGTGGAGGACTTGCTCAAGCCTCAGACCTGAGACGGGGCAGTGCGTGCCTCTGCTCATTCATTCTCTTCGCTCACGTTTTCCGAGGTCCTGCTGCACGTCGGCCCGTGGGTGCTGGGCACAGTGATGACTGAGACACCCAGTCCTGCCCCGGGGGATTAGGGACACATGGGCAGGATCCACAGGGCCACCGGGAGGCCCTGAGACGTAGGAGTTCTGAGCTGGGGCGCCAGGGAGCACATCCTGGAAGAAGTAATATCTGAGCAGATGATGGGACAGGCCCAGCCAGGGGCTGGGAAGGGGGCGCGTGGGAGGGCCCCTCACTCTGCTGCAGGAGAGACCCCCCACTGGTGGGTTTGACCAGAGGCCTTTCTGAGGTGCTGCCCTGCATCCCAGGGCGGGGGTGTCTGTGCGTGGGCTCTGGAGCCTAAGTGGTGCTGGCATTCAGGGGGGTTACAGCTCGACTCCCCTAGTCTTTTCTTCCCTCCTTCCCCCAAGGAAGCCTGCATTGAAATTGTAAAAAAGCTGGCTTTTAGGAGTCTGTGTTCAATCGTGTCCCTGCCAGGCCTCGGTGCCGCCTTCTCGCCCACGCTCAGCCAGCCTTGGGCCCCGTCCTGCACGAGG